ATTTTGTTTAATCTCCACATATTTGTGGCTTTTCTGATTTTCTTCCTATAGTTGATTTCTAGTTTCATACCGTTGTGGTCAGAAAAGATGCTTGATATTATTTCAATCTTCTTAAATTTATGGAGACTTGTTTTGTGGCCTAATATGTGATCAATGTTGGAGAATGTTCCATGTGCATTTGAAAAGAATGTGTATTCTTCAGTTTTTGGATGGAATGTTCTGTATATACCTACTAGGTCCGTCTGTTCTAGTGTGTCATTTCAGGCCCATGTTTTGGGCTGGTCCCGTGGCTTAGCGGTTAAGTGCGTGCACTCCACTACTGGCGGCCCGGGGTTTGGATCCCGGGCGCGCACTGATGCACAGCTTCTCCAGCCATGCTGAGGCCATGTCCCACATACAGCAAATATAAGGATGAGCTACTATGACATACAACTATCTACTGGGGCTTTGGGGAAAAAAAAAGGAGGAGGATTGGCATGGATGTTAGCTCAGGGCTGATCTTCCTCACAAAAAATAAATAAAAAAAAATAAATAAGGCCAATCTTTCCTTATTGATCTTCTGTTTGGGTGATCTATCCTTTGGTGTAAGTGGAGTGTTAAAGTCCCCTGCTATTATTGTGTTACTGTCTATTTCTCTTTTTACGTCTGTTAATAATTGCTTTATATATTTAGATGCTCCTGTGTTGGGTGCATAGATATTTACAAGTGTTATGTGGAGACAGATGTGTTTAAATATCTACCTGGTGATTCATTACTTCAAGGTTTTCAGCAGAAAATATACTAGGAAAACTCGTTGACAAATGAATAGTATTTCTATCCCCTTGTGATTTTAAGTTGTAATCATTTAACAAATGATTACTCATAGCTCTTACTATGTACCAAACAGCACCTGTGTTTTTAACCATCAGCTTGGCCCCCTCACTGGCTGCCTGTCACCTGTTGCCTTCTCAGAGGCCCTAATCGTAAAGGTCTTCAGAAAGACAACCACAAACCACTAGTTTTGAGATTTTCTGGTCTCTCTTTGAACTTGGTGTTGAAGCCAAGTTGTGGCCTGTATCAGTTTGCTAGGGTCGCCATAACAAAATACCACAGCCTGGGTGGCTTTAACAAATGAAGTTTATTTCCTTACAGTTCTGGAGGCTGGAAGTCCAAGATCAAGGTGTCAGCAGGGTTGGTTTCTTTGGAGGCCTCCTTTCTTGGCTTGCACATGGCCGCCTTCTCTCTGTGTCCTCACATGATCTCTCCTCTGTGTGTGTGTCCCTTGTGCCTCTTTGTGTGTCCAAACTTCCTCTTCTTCTAAGAACACCAGTCAGATTGTGTTAGGGCCCACCTTAGCATCCTCATTGTAGCTTAATCACCTCTTTAAAGACTCTGTCTCCACATACAGTCACATTCTGATGTCGTGAGGGTTAGAACTTCAACATAGGAATTTGGTGGGGACACAACTCAGCCCATAACATGGCCTTTCCACAGGGCAGCCATTCAGGTCCCACAAGACTGCAGGTATGACAGGGAATGGCTACCTTTTATCAAATGTGAGAATAAGAAACTTCATTGCTCCACCAACCCACTGAGGCTGCTCCCACACGTGGACTCTGGGGGCTGAAAAGGTTCCTGCTTTTCCCAGTCTCCCCTCTGAAAGGAGGGTGCCTAGGCCCTCAGAGATACCAGTTTCCTTTTTGATGAGCTGATGTTTTCACACAGGATGCCATGCTTCTCTCCACAGAAAGAACTTCCTGAGATCCTGGAGGGCTCCAACAAGTCTCTCGCTCTGCACTTGATACACACAATCCTGGTAAGCGATCTCAGGCAACTGTGACTCTCCAGAGATTCACTCGTTTAACAAACCTCCCTGGGTCACATGCAGGAGTAAGGGATGAGGGTATAGACGTTCCTCATTCACTCATTCATTCAGTAGATCTCTACTAAGTAGAATTTGGCAATCTCCTATCCACAATCTCAAACCCAAAGAGCTCTGAAAATCCAGAGGCTCTTTGTAACCCACATGGCAGCCAGACTTGACCTAGACTGATATGTAGCCATTAGTGTTTGTGGTTCCCACACTTTCCTTCACTTTATTTATTTCACTATCCATACATTTTTCTGCAGACATATTAATGTGGGAGCTGGAGTGCCGCCCTGGCCCCTCCCTGCCTACTGAGCATATTACATAATATGTAGCAGATGTACTGAATTATCTATCTACAATCTGAAAAGTTCTGAATTCTGAAACCCACCTGGGACTAGGGACTGTATTCGCTACATGCCAGTCTGGCACTGTACTAGGTTCTAGCAGTATCGAGGACCATTACTCGATCACTGATTCATTCATTCCCTGTGCAAATATATCCTAGACATTATGATGTAGGGATGGATTCATTTCTTTCCTTCCTTTCTTCTTCCGTACACATTTATTCAGTGTGTACTCTGTGCCAGGTTTGTTTCATTCCTTTATTCATTGAACAAATGTTTGTAGGGAGTCCACATGTCCTGGCACTTCCCTAGGCACTGGAGTGCAGTGATAAGCAGACACTCCTGCTGCACTTGAGGAACCTGTAGACTGTTGGGGTGGATGGACATGACAAGACACTCCGTAAGGTGCTATATGAACCAGAGCAGAGGAATGTCCTAGGCCCTGTGATGCCCATGGGAGGAAGCAGTCTGCTCTTTTGGGGAAAAGAGTTTTGAAGGATGAGTTAGGTTTATCTGGTTGATGGAGGATCATGGGTGAGGGGAACTGGAATAACCGAGAAGACCAATGAGAAGCAGAGAAGTGTGAAGAGATCAGCTGCAGGGGCCGGCTGCAGCAGAGGAGGATGCTTGTGGCTGCTATAGAAGGAGTATAAACTTCATCCTAGGGGTTGGGAACAGAAGAAGAGCAACATGATTAGATTTCCATTTTAGAAAGAGCCCTTTGGCTGCAGAGTGGGCCAGACTGGAGGCAGGCGATCCCTCAGGCCTCAGGCCTCAAGCCTTAGAGGGGATGTTTGATGCATCTTGGCTGTCTGGTGATGAGAATTGGGACAAAGGTTTGAGAGATATTTAAAATGTAAGTCAGACAGTGGAGTCTCTCAGGCTGGATCGGAGATGGCTGCGTGGAGGCGGTGGTAATTGATCTGGGTCTTAGGGAAGGGGAACATTTGAGCAGGAGGGTATTTTAAGAGGAAAAGGTATCTTTGGTCAGGTCCCAGGGGTGGGGAGTGTGTGGGAAGGTGCAGGGGCACTGGAAGGGTATGCAGCCTCTCCTAGGGCCTAGTAGTATGGGAGAAGGTGTTTTTCAAATGGTAAGTAGTTTTCTGATGCAGAAGGCATAGCCTTCCTCCAGAACCCTAGGGTGTGGACTGTGACTGTCTTGTTGGGGCTCGCCAGAGGCTCCACACAGCATCCATATCCACCTTGGATATCTCAAGCACAAGGGCTCTGCTAGTCATATGGTCCTCGTGGGGGGCACTTTGACCCCAGCCTGGACCTGCTGTAGAGCCCTCCCTTGCTCTGGGCCTGATTTAGAACCCTCAGCCTTCTGAGGACCCAATGGACGACTCAGAGCAGCACTCCCTAGTGTGGTAGATGCTGCCTCCAAATCTCAAAGAAAACCAAGAAGGCCTATGCTTCTGTCTTAGTGTTAGGGGTTTGAGGTGCAATAACTTGTCCCAGTGCTCCCCAGAGTACCAGATCCAAAACATCACCAGTGTGGTAGATTCTGATTCTTCGTGAGGTTTACCCTCCACCCTCCGACACTGGTGTTTGGGGCAAGTTGAGGAATTGAAGGCCAGGAGGCAGCCTGGTGCCAAGTCAAAGAAGGCATGGAATGCCCTATTAAACGACTTGACAATGGGTTTCAGGGGGGAACTGACAGAACTGAAGACCTGCTCTGTGCTAGGCAGCGTGCTTTTCTCATTGCATCTCATGTAATCCTCTGAACAACTCATTCTTTACAGATGAAGGAACTCCAAAAGACCAACTAGCTTAGGTCAAATAGCAAAGGCCTGGAGGCAGTGCTGGTACCAGGAGCAGGGCTAACTTCATGGATGTGCGACCTGTGTAGTCACAAAGGACCTCGCGCTCAGAAGGGTCCTACACGTAGTTTAAATGTTCTGTTGTCACCATCTTGAAATTCTTAGACTTTTTGAACAACGAGCCCCGTATTTTCATGTTGCTCTGGGCCCTTACTAATAATGTAGCCAGCTCTAGGGAGGGGAGGCTGTACCTGATACACTTCAGAGAGGTATGCATACTGTGATTAGGAGCGTGGAATTCAGATGCAAATAGACTTGTGAAAGAATCGTGGTTCCAGCAGTTTGTTCAAACCACTTAACTTCTCTAAGACTCAGTTCCCTCATCTGTGACATGGGCTAATTTTGACACTTGCATCATAGGGTCGCTGTGTAGATTAAATGAGACAATGCATGTAAAGCACTCAGGATCATGCCTGCATAGCAAATGCTTAACGTGTTAGCTGTTGGCATTGACCTGTATCTCCTGTGACCACGATTTTTTACAGCACGTCCCTGTCCAGTATTTACACCTTGTGGCTAACGAATACTTCTACAACAAGCACTCTCTGGTTGAAATACGAAATAGTTTTCTGGACCTGCTTGGAGATGTGTTCTTTGTGGTCCCTGCACTGGTCACAGCTCGATATCACAGAGGTGAGTCTCTGAGCACCCCCTGCAGGGCCACAGCCCAGCAAAGCTGGCGGCTGGAGGGACCCTCATTGCCTGCTGACTGGCTGCCTGCTCCACCCTTCTGTTCCCTCAAGGAGAAGGAGTTCCCGAGGGTGTCTGGGATATAACCGTGCATGCTGACGTTTGCAATTCCCTTGCCTTCTAGAGTTCAGGAACGTTGATCAGTTCTTGTTGTTTCTGTTCCTTCCCCTCCCTCGAGACCATGTAGAAAATTCCCACCTCCCCATAATTTCCTGAGACCTGCCCCTATGTTCCTTTTCCTTTGGAAGTGTCTTTCCAAATGTCTTAGCTATAAGGAGTAGTGGAGCAATCAGAAAGAGAAGATTGCTTGTGGGGGCAAAAACCCACCCTGCCTCCCTTCCTCTCTTTCTTCTTCCTTTCCTCTCTCCCTCCCTCCCTCTCTCCTTTCCTCCCTTCCAGTCTCCGTGCCTCCCTCCCTTCCTCCTTTCCTTTCTACTCTCTGTCTCTCTTTCTCTCTCCTTTTCCTCCTTCCATCCTTTCTTTCTTCTGTCCTTTCTTCCTTCCTTCCTTTCTTTCCTTTCTTTCTTTCATCTTCCTTTCCACAGATATTTATCATGGGCCCACTATGTGCCTGGCACTATTCTAGGCTCTGGAGACACAGCAGTGAACAAAACAAAGACTCTGCCGCCATAAAACTCACATTCTAATGGTGAACAATGATAACAAATAAACAAGCAAACATAGAATGCATACTATTAGATGGTAATAAGTACTGTAGAGTAAAATAAAGCAGAGTAGGGGATGTCAGTGACAGGGTGCTGTGGGAGGATCCTGTGTTATAAGGTCTGTTGAGGGGATAGGTAAGAATTGACTCTTAAATTTGACAACATAGGGATCACCGGTGACCTGGACGGGAACTATTGTGATGGAATGATGGAAGTAAAAGCCTGATTAAAATGGATTCAAGAGAAAATGGGCAAACTGATTTCCAGACTCTATACAATCCCAATCGCAATCAACATCTCAGCAGTGAGATTGGAGAAGTGAACGAGCTGATTCTAAAAATGTATGCAGAAATGAAAGGATAGCCAAAATAATCTTGAAACAGAATAATAAAGCTGGAAGACTTATAAGACACCTGATTTCGAGACTTGTCTTTGAGCTACAGTAATTAAGAAAGTCTTGTATTGGCTGAAGGGTAGACTAATGTAGAACAGAGTGAAGAGTCCAGAAAATACACAGTTAACCAATTTTCGACAAAGCTGCTGTAATAAGTCAGTGGAGAAAGGAAAGTCTGTTCAGCAAATGGAGATGGAGTAACTAGATATCTATGTAGAAAAAGTGCATCTCAAACCCCCTAACTTACACCGTACACAAAAATTAGTTTGAGATGAATTATAGATCCAAATGTAAAGGCTAAAATTGTACATAAGCAAAATTAACATTTCTGCTTGTCAAAAAACACTATTGACAGTATCAGCAAATATGGTGGAGCAGAGAACTCCCAAAGCCTGTCCCACTACAAAAGGACTGAATAAAATGACAAGGACTGGGGGCCGGCCCAGTGGCGCAAGTGGTTAAGTGCGCACGCTCGCTGCGGTGGCCCAAGGTTCACCAGTTTGGATCCCAGGCGCACACTGACGCACTGCTTGGCAAGCCATGCTGTGGCTGCATCCCTTATAAAGTGGACGAAGATGGGCACGGATGTTAGCCCAGGGCCAGTCTTCCTCAGCAAAAAAAAAAAAAAAAGAGGAGGATTGGCAGATGTTAGCACAGGCCTGATTTTCCTCACACACACACACACACACAAATGGCAAGGACTGTCAGAATCAACTTTATCAAAACTCCGGAAACAAATCAAGGGTTTACAGCAAGCAAGTGAACATTTCATCAAGACATAAGCTTTTGAGTTTCAGTAGGAGAACTTTGTGTCATTTTAATTTACTTGCACCATCCCCTGCTATCCAGCTGGCAATGGCCTTGTAGACAACAGCCTGCATTTATATTATAGGTTCCTAGTACTGGAGGGAGAAGCATGGACCTTAATCTCAAAGAATTGTGGTTGTTTGTTTTGACCTATCGGATGGCACCCTGAACAACTAAGCTCAAAGGGCTTGCTTTTATTTCACCGAACTCAGGAGTCTCTCAGGGCTGAGACAACTACCTGAAGGGCATTTTTCATAAACATTTAAAGGTAGATGTATTTGCTACTGCCACTAGGGACAAGGGATAACAGCTGGAATAAACAATAGACAAAGCTTGAGAGGAAAGCCTGGGCAATGAGATGCTTGGGGGAATAAAAGCTTAAAAAACTTGCTCATATTCCTGGGAATATAGAAGGCCATGTGCATGTCCACAGTGGGGATCATGCTCAGAAGAGGCCAGAGAAATCCCTAAGCTCTCACATTTGGCCGACCTTCAGGCTCTGCTTAAACAGAAAGTGAAGACTAAGACAGGATTGTAAACTGTCTGGCTGAGTGTTGAGGGAGTGCTCCAACACACACACAGAGCCTACCTTCAAAGAATGGGAGATTTTTTTTTTTTGTTCTAAGTATTTATCAATATCTCATCTGACCTGTCAAATTATTAGCTGACCACTAAGCAAACAGAAGAAAGATTTCAGTGGCCACAAACGGCAAAGAACGTAGACTTCACAAAATTCAGACAGAAACATTGTTAAACAAACAAACATCAGCAACCACAACAAGCAGCAACAGTAAACCATGGGGAGAGGGTAGAATCTGATGTCCAGAGTTACCACATTATGATATTCACAACCTCCAGTTTTCAAGAAATATTACAAGGCATTGAAAGAAACAGGAAAGTATGGCCCATACACAGGAAATAAAGAAATTATTGGAAATTGTCCCTGAGGAAGCCTAGACATTGGACTTACTCAACAAAGATTTTAAATCAACTATTTTAAATATAGTTAAATAGTTAAAGGAGAACTATGTACAAAAAACTAAAGGAAACCATGAGAATGATGTCTCATCAATTAAAGAATAGCAATAAAAGGATAGGATTTATAAAATTATAAAAGGAACCAAATAGAAATTCTAGTATTAAAAAGTACAATAACTGAAGTGGAAAACTGACTAAAGGAGATCACTGGCATATTTGAGGATAGAGAAAAAGAAAAAAGAAACAAAAAACTTGAAGGTAAATCCAATGAGATTACCCAATGTGAGGCTCAGAAAGGAAAAGGAATGAAAAAAATGAACAGAGCCTAGGAGACCTGTGAGACACCATCAGGCATTCTAACATATGCATAATAGGCATTCCAGAAGGAAAGGAAAGAGAAAAGAGGCAAAAATAATATTTGAGGAAATAATGATAACAACGTCCCAAATTTTAATGAAAGAGGTGAATATTGATATCCAAAAATTTCAGTGAATCCCAAGTAGGAGAAACTCAAAGAGACCCACACAAGCACATATTGTAATCAAACAATCAAAAGCCAAAGACAAAGGGAAATTCCTGAGAGCAGTAAGAGAGATGAGACTAATCATGTACAAAGTATCTTCAATAAGATCAACAGCTGGTTTCTCACTAGAAACCAAGGAGACTAGAAGGCAATAGGATGACTTATTCAAAGTGCTGAAAGAAAAACATCACCTGGCAGCCAATAATTCTATATCTGTCAAAACTATCCTTCAAAAATGAAGGAGAGTGGCCGGACCAGTGGCACAAGCAGTTAAGTGCACGCACTCTGCTGCGGTGGCCCGGGGTTTGCCGGTTTGGATCCTGGGTGCGCACCAACGCCCCGCTTGTTAAGCCATGCTGTGGCAGCATCCCATATAAAGTGGAGGAAGATGGGCACAGATGTTAGCTCAGGGCCAGTCTTCCTCAGCAAAAAAAGAGGAGGATTGGCATCGAATGTTAGCTCAGGGCTGGTCTTACAAAAAAAAAAGGAGAAATTCAGACATTTCCAGATAAACAAAGACTGAGAGAGTTTGTCACTTCTAAGCCAACCTGACAAGAAATGCTAAAGGGAATCCTTAAGGCTGAAAAAAAAGACACTAGATAGTATCTTAAATCCATAAGAAGAAAAAAGAACACCAGTAAAGTTAACTACATTACTTACGTTTTCCTATAGTATAAAAGTTAGTATTAATGTACTTTTGGGTTCTAACTTCTCTTTTTTTCATATATAATTTAAAGGACCACTGTCTAAAACAGTAATTATATAACTATGTTATTAACATACAATGTGTAAAGATGCAACTTGTGACAATAACAACATAAATGGGGCAGATCTATATAGGGGAAAAATTTTTGTATGCTATTGAAACTAATTGGCATTAATTTGAACTAGATTATTATAAATTAAAATGTTAATTGTAATCGCTGGGGCAACTGCTGAGAAAAAAACTAAAAAATATATAGTAAAAGAAACAAGAGGGGAATTAAAATGGTACGCTAGAAAAATCTAACACAAAATAAAGCAGTAAGGGAGCAATTGAAAAACAAAGATGATATAAGACATATAGGAAACAAACAGCAAAATGATAGAAATATGTCCTTCCTTATCAGTAATTACATTAAATGTAAATGGATTAAGTTCTCAAAAGGCAGAGTTTGCAGAATGAATGGACTAAAAAACTCATAATCCGACTATATGTTGTCTACCAGAGACTCACTTTAGAACCAAAGACACAAATAGGTTGCAAATTAAAGGGTGTAAAAAGGTATTCCATACAGATGGTAACCAAAAGAGAGTTGGCATGGCTATACTAATATCAGACAAAATATACTTTAACACTAAATTATTACAGAAAGTGTGGCAGACTGAAAGAGACAGAGAAGCACATTATATAAAGATAGAAGAGTGAATCAATTAGGATGATATAATAATTATAAACCCATATGCACCTTACAGCAGAGTTCCAAAATATATGAAGGAAAAATTGACAGAATTGAAGGAAGAGACAGTTTTACATTAATAGTTGGAGACTTCAATCAATAATAGTAAAAAAAACTATACAAAAGATAGACAAAGA